TTGCCCATTTTCAATACCAGACAAACCTTACCTATAACAAATATTTATGTGAAATTTCAACCCTCTAGCTCATTCCATTCGGACTCTATAGTGCTTTCAACAGACAGACGGACGGACAGACATGGCTAGATCGTCTTAGAATTTAATGAGGACCCAGAATATATATACTTTTGTGGGTCTATGACCAATATTTCGATGTGTTACAAACGGAATGACAAAATCAATATACCCCCATCTTTTTTGATGGTGGGTATAAAAATAAATATGAAAACATGAATCTATGGGAGTTTTGTCTAAATAAGAAAAGCTATCGTTATGTAAGGCTGGTTTAAAAATTAAAAATTTGTATTTAAATTACTTTTTAATTATATTAAGACCTACAATTTGTTGAACACCTCTTTTATTCAAAATACTCTTACACCTATCAAACTTAAAATAAACGAATTATTATGTTTTCATCTACGCCTTAACACTAACAATAAACCAGTAACTTAGACTTGTACAATATCAATTAAATTTGACTTAACATTTTATATTTGAAATAAACATCTCCATAGCAAACAAGAAGACGCCTATCAGAATTTCCCCTCGCTTAAAATATAAATGAATGTAAATATTTGCCTAAAAATAGATTTAAACAACCATAAATTAAACTAATTATTGAATTTTCGAAAATCACTAGAGATACATACATATCTTAAAATAGCCATCTCCATCCACCAGCGTTAATAACAAAAGAAGAACAACAAAAATATTTGTAAGCTTAATGCGATAGCTACGCTACATACATAAAATAGCTACTGTGGCTGACGATGGTTTTCAGTCAATAAGTATTAAACTCAATTATTTACAATACAGCCATTTCAACAAGTTTATTTACCTGAGGGCCTTAAGATTTGTCACTCACAAATGCATGAAGAAGACACACAATTATTGTTATACAAAAGACAGAGCCCCTATCAATCTTGATGGAAAATAATAATAAAACAATCAACAAGAACATTTTGATCATGATGACGAAAAGTGTCCAATGCTAAAGAGAAGATTAACCACTATCTTACTGACGATTGTTTAGCCCAACATACTTTTTATTTATAATATGTATTTTGTATGGCAAATAGTTAAAATTGCGAACGCTTAAGACTACACTCCTTGGGATATAGATATTATGGCTCATTTGTTGCCTTTATTAGGCCATTCAATAGGACGTGCAAAAAAAGGTATTGATATAATAAATTATTTGTTAAATTTATCGTAACAACCAGCGAAAATGGGATTAAGTTAATTTTATTATGTGACATGTAACGCAAGGAAATGACCGTAGACATTTGGCTTTACTTCTCTATGAACTTAAAAGTTTCAGATTCACTTATTGATTCGCCAAAGCCATGTCAAACAAACAAATAGTTAAGACTGTATTTTAAAGGAAAGTAACAGTGCTAGATCCGAATCTAGAGTATCAAGAGGAACAGCTTTTTTTTAAGAATTTCATCTATATCTCAATCGTTGCGTATGTAATGAATACAAAAGAAAAATTAAAAATACATTTTTTTGAAAGGACTTTTCAGTTCTTGATCTCAGTGCAATATGTTAAAAAAATTCTGCATTATTTTCGAAAAGGGTCTCAAAATAATTTTATATTTTTTGAGTAATTTTGTTACACAGAAGATAAAGTTAATTCTAAGACCGTGTTGGATTTAAAAAAAAAAAGCTCTAACCGAATACTCTCCCAGGGCACTCAGGAGTAGTCTACAATACAAGAGCGAATGTAGCTTTAAAGGGAAGGGAGCTCGAGGTAGTTAACCTGACGAACGTAAAACCATTTGACGTAACGAGGGCATAATTAAAAATATGGTTGAGAGAAACACATAAGGCCTCTTGAAATAATGAAACGGTGGTTAGAACTATAAAGATCCTATGGGGTGACCCTATCGGGAGTAGGACGAGAAGGCTGCTCAAAATGAGCAAATCTGAGGTTAGTATGATGGTACATATTCTGAGTGGGCACACATGATTGCGGGCACATCTATACAAAACAGGACGTGCGGATTCAGACGTATGTAGATCATGAAAAGAGAACAGTGACACTTTGGAGCTTCTGGAACTTCTTTGACACTGTCAGGCTCTCGCCGAAATTAGATCAAAATATCTTAGGAGTGATATTATTCCGGATATGACATTCCTCACGAACACTGATTGGAAAATTCTTAGGAATTACTGAGTTTCTGAACATCGACTGATAATACTTCCAGTAAATAATATTTCAGGTTTTTAGATTATTTTGGAATTTATATGCCTCTTAAAAGTCGTTTTGCGGACTAGAAATACTCTCCAAAATTGTAGATATTTGTTCCCGCAATCGCTAGGTTAGGCAACTGAGGCACTTTTCAAATAATATATTTTATTTCTTGCCGTATTTAGTACATTAATGCGCATCGTTTTGGAGATGTTCCTAGAAAAAATTGATCCACCGGACTCCATTCACCATAGTATATTTCCAAAAAAAAATTTTTTTTTCTATAAATTTTTTTCCAAAATTTTTCTTAAAAATGTTATTGAAAAATTGCTCATTCAAATATTTTTTGTTTAAACTTTTACAAAAACACAAGTAAGAATGTATAGACGGGCATGGCCGAGTATGAAAGAGACGCACCAACAGACATAGCTTAAGCGACTCTGAAAGTAATTCTGAGTAGATTGGTATTCCCACTATAGTGGAGTAGGGTATAACAAATTCTGTACATAAATAGTTATAATACCCAGCAACAGATGAAACCAAATTTAGTCTAAATCTAAACTCTAAATTGGATAAAGTTTTCTATAAACATTTAACTCCAATAAAATTTTCTTTAGAAAATCTTAAGCCTATTTAGAATTTCCCATTTGCATAAAGGGCATTTAAAATTCGACTAAAATCAAAATGCAAAAAAAAAAGTTTTGCTACTTTAAATGGCATAAAATACAACAAACTAGAAGAAGTGGTTCAAGAGGAAAGAACATACAACAATTTAAGTTGCAATTTACCAGCAATTATAAGTAGATGAAGTAAACGAAGAGACTTAATGCAACAAACTGACTTAAATGGTATATTTTATAGAAAAGCAGAAAAAAAAATTCCCCCTAAACACACACATTTTTCACTTTTACTTTTTTTCCCCCAAAGGCAAATTTAAATTGACGTTAATGGCCATGTTGACCAAATGGCTGGGTTTAGTTCAATAAAATGCTGTCTGTAGCAATTGACTACAATGACGCTGATGATATTAGTGTTTTTTTTTTATTATTTTAAAATATTCCATACAAATCTTCAGATTCCTCCATTGTTATACGATTTTTTGCTTTGGCTGGAAACCTATAAATTTATTATAACTACCGGCCGTGTTAATGCAACAACAGGCTGTATATAGCTGCAACAACTGTGGCGGCAACTTAATAAATGCACCTAAACGACCTTGAGTCCATCATGTATTTCTTACAAGACTCTTCTACTGTCCTCGTTGTTTACTTCCAAAGCAAGCTGGTTTTGTGTGATTTTTGTATATTCTTTTGGTATCTTGTAAATTGTTACGAATTTCTTGTTGATTTTCTTTTGCTTGTTTGTGCCTGGAAGTTGATACCAATTTTGTATTTTTATGGTATTTCTACCTTTAAAACAAATTATAGGATTCTAGTTTTGTTTTCAAGCATCAAGACTTTGGCATGATAGTGTTTACTTCATCACCGACAAAGTCTAGTAAGTGGCTGAGTGAGTAAGTCTTTGTTTAGGCACCAACACTCACAAAAAAAAATCATCATAAATTATTAAATTGTTTCTTTGTGCAACCTGAAATCTTGACGAAAAAAAAAGACCTATTGTTAACAATAATGAGCACGAGCAGCTAGGAGTAGATTGAGCATTAAGTTGTGGATAATTGTAGAGAATAAACTGATGTTTTGATGCTGTGTTTTTGCTGCTATTGCCATGCATACCTGTCGACGACATTATAGATATTGTTCTTGATTTCGGTTGATTGTGCTGCTGATTATAGAGAAGTTCTTTTGTTTCTTTGATTAGTATTTTGTATGAATGGCTTGAATTTTATTTTACTCCTTTTTATTACTATTTCACATTCAAGTGTTATTAAAATTTTTACGGAAATTTTAAACTAAAAATGTTTTAAAGACCAAATTCTTTTTTTTGGAATGTGAACATAATTTAAGCTATTTAAATTTATTTAGAATTAAGAGAAATCTTGTATGTTGAAATTACTAAAGTTTAAAAAATCTCTATAAGTAGAAAAATCGATGACCTGGCCAGCAAAAACACGGTAATGGGTTGTGCTTCTATAACTACTTACTTTTCAATGACTACTACTTGTCGTCTGCATTATTTAGAAGGTAATGGTAATGACTTTCTTATAATCTGATATCGTAGTACTCTATTTTCGGCTTTGCCACTTTGTTTGCACTTTTTATTTGATTGCGACTTAAGAATTTTGTTTTACAAAAAAAAATAATAAAAATTGTATGTGGAAACCATTATTTGACGCGCAATAAAATAGTTAAGCAGTGGTGCAGTGGCTAGAACATTTGACTAACAAAACCGAAGTCCCTGGTTCGCATTCTAGCTGGCTTTTTTTATTATTAAAAAATAAAACAACTTCTTTGTAAGAGAAATTGCAAGTACTTCTTTAACTCCCTATTTGTAAGCGAGCGTGGAAGTACTTGTCTCCAATGACATCACCGTGTTAAAATAATGACCTAAAATGCTAACGAAGAAGTAGTGAAAAGAGGTTTTATTAGCTTTTTAACTCATTACTTTTCAATGTAAGTTTTTCCTGAGTGTGACTCTTTGACTCCGAGTATTATACTTTGGGAAGTAAATATGTAATTTCTAAAAAATAAGTTAAAAATTGATTTTAATGATTATTCTAAAGATTAAGTTTAATTTTTATCACAATTTATGATGTTAACCAAAATTAATTTAAATTTAATATTTTTTTATTTTTACTCATTTCCAGAACAGTCATTGCACATGTGACTAAAAAGGTATGTTCTTAAAAAATTTTAGTTCAAATCTGATTACTAAATTATATTAATGAGTCAAAAACTGTACCCAAAGAGTCGTAAATGATATACACCCATATCATTTTTCTGGCTGATAAAAATCTAATAGTCATTAAAAACAAAAGAAAAACATATAAAACATGACTGTAAATGGTAGAGAAAAATTAAAGTGATTTATGATTATTACCGGGGAAAAATAACATGGAAAGTAAATGCCAACAGAAATAAAAAAAATATATACATATGAATCAATTTAGCAACATACAGACAATAATTACATGTATGGCTATACAACGGAGGGGAACTATTACAGTTAACGCCCATGTTGACAATATTTTTAATTTGTTAAACTATTTATTTGTTTTCTTATGTAAGTAGGCAGACACATAACACAGTTATAAAAAAAATATTATAATTTTATACACCTGCAGCAGATAAAATCCTAGACCGACTGGCAATAATTTATGACAACAACATTTTTTAATGAAAGTAGAAATAATCATTTAATTTTTAAATAGATTTTAAAGAAAATTTTATAAATTATAATAGTTATGAAGAGTTTTAAGACCAGCTGGGATTTTTTTTTACTATTTTTTCTCAGCATTTGTTAGAATTGCTATTCTATTTTTGTTGTTTATGGTTGGTCTAGTAACCACATCATATAAATCTTAAATAAGAAGCTCACAAATAAGTTGACAGCCAAACAAAACAAACAACCGAACGTACAAGCAAACAAATACTTGTGCATAAAATCATATTTACAAATACACTCATACTGAATGCACACACATGTTCAAAAACTATGTCTATGTACAGTAGAGGAGTCCGAAAAATATTGATTTTGCTCAGATCGTTCCTTTTTTTGTTCTTTAGAGTCTTAAAATTAATATTGCCCATGCTACATTTAAAAAAATGTAATTCTTTATAATTTTTTTTTAATTAGTCGTTTTTCCTAAATATGTGAAGTGGAAGATAAGATTTTATTTCAATATAATTTGAATGTCATTATTATCGATGAAATCAAAAACGTCCTATTTTTTACATAATTTTAAACTTTTCAATCGAATTCCGGCAGGGATTCCTGTTATACGATTTGACTAAAATTTTAGACCAGTAAGTTTTATATATGTTGGACGCCTCTAATGTAAAGCTTAGAAAGGATATTTAAATATTCATACATACAACACATAAGTATAAGTCCACATAGAATATGCATTCATAAAATATCAAATACTCTACACTTTGCACCCGACCATTTGAATTTTCCTTCGTTATTGACTTTTAAACCTTTACTCAGATGACATTACAGAAATTCTAAGTCATGAATATTTTTAAAAAAACAGGAACAAAATCAGAAAAAGGTGAATTAGAACTTAAACAGAACAGAACTGAACTGAACTGAACTGAACTAGAACTGAACTAGAACTGAACTAGAACTGAACTAGAACTGAACTAGAACTGAACTAGAACTGAACTAGAACTGAACTAGAACTGAACTAGAACTGAACTAGAACTGAACTAGAACTGAACTAGAACTGAACTAGAACTGAACTAGAACTGAACTAGAACTGAACTAGAACTGAACTAGAACTGAACTAGAACTGAACTAGAACTGAACTAGAACTGAACTAGAACTGAACTAGAACTGAACTAGAACTGAACTAGAACTGAACTAGAACTGAACTAGAACTGAACTAGAACTGAACTAGAACTGAACTAGAACTGAACTAGAACTGAACTAGAACTGAACTAGAACTGAACTAGAACTGAACTAGAACTGAACTAGAACTGAACTAGAACTGAACTAGAACTGAACTAGAACTGAACTAGAACTGAACTAGAACTGAACTAGAACTGAACTAGAACTGAACTAGAACTGAACTAGAACTGAACTAGAACTGAACTAGAACTGAACTAGAACTGAACTAGAACTGAACTAGAACTGAACTAGAACTGAACTAGAACTGAACTAGAACTGAACTAGAACTGAACTAGAACTGAACTAGACTAGAACTGAACTAGAAGTGAACTAGAACTGAACTAAACTAGAACTAGAGCTTAACATGAACTGAATTAGAGCAAACCTAGAATTGAACTGGAGTTTAAAACTTACATACATCTATGCAAAATCAGTAGTTTGTATAGTGGTTGCGATTCGAGATGAATCCATGCAAATATTCCACTTCGTTTTTAGTCAGAGTTTCTTTATTTTCCATTTATTTATGCATGTGACTGAAGGAGGCCGGCTCACAACAATAAGAGAATGATAGTCCTAATAGTAGCAGTGAACAGTAGTGGAAGAAGAGTGTACACATACATTTTTGTGAAAATTATGACCATCTGCTTCATTGAGGACACGAGGTAATGGGTCAACACAAATACATTTATTTGAATGTATAAACAAATTCACAAACATAAATACATACTTACGCAAATACAACATTGTATACTTTTGAGATACATTAGAAATCCAATGCAATTTATTTTAGTTGAACTGGTAAATAAACTAAACGAAACGCAGTGCCAGCACAAGTTCCATTTACAAAAGGAATGCAGTTTTCTGTGTGCAACAAAATGAATGTTTGAATTTTGACCAAATGATAAGAGACATGAAAATAATGTCCACAAGATGTAAGAAAAGATAAAACAGGCAATTATAGTTGTGTACTTATATTAAAGGGAATCGGAAAATAGGCATAAGCTGCTAAAAATGAAGAATGACAGTGAACTATTTTAGGTCCTAAGTTTAAATTAGAAACAGGAGAATAAAACTGTTTAGAGTTAGAAAACAAGCAGGATGTATAATGTCCGTCAGTCGGCGTAATAATAAGAATGCGATAAAAGTATACAAATCATTGTAATAGGGATTCTGCAGTTTATTTGCTGTGTATAAAGTTTAGTTTATTTAAGAAACAAAATATAAGTTAATAACTAGGTACATATGTATGTATATTCTGAAGTGTTTATACTATAGTTAATATTTGTCCGATTTTGTTTTGTTGCTTTTAAGAGGAGGTTTACCATCATTCCACATCTATTCAAGTAATGGTAATAGTAATCAGAAAGTTATTTTATTATTACTATTATTAATTATTGATCTTAGAATACTGACAAATTAAAATTGAGAAATTATTAAATGTTAAGGATCTCTCTTAAAATAGTATATTTTCACCTTATTAAAACTAATATTGAAAAGTTAATATTTTACAAATTAGGCCTTAAAGGAAACATAAGACAAATTTATTTCGTTTATTGAACCACTCAATGGAACACTAACATATGCTAAAAATACAACTTTTAATGGATCTGTGTATATTCATATGAGTCCTTAAAGTATGTATGTAGTTGTATATGTGTATGAAATGCAATAATAAAATACAAAGACACTATAGTCCAAAGAAATTGCATCGTTTTAATTTTTTTGTATGTACATGGGAAAAACATTATGAGTACATACATACATGCGGAATATTAGTGTGATCTTTTGACCACTTTTTTGATGGAATACCTCTCAAGGGATGTGTACTTAATATGAGAAAAATAAAAAATGTTATTGAATATTGAAAACCGTCTTATTTTTTCGTGTTCAGTACATTAATACGCACCGATTAAGAGCCATTCCTACAGGAGATTCTTAATAAGATTGTTCTTCGGGACACAATAATGAATATGTATACACCCGCCACCATAACTCGTTGTGAGTATTCTCAATTTCTACTAAATAGAGAGTATTTAAAATAAAATGGTATCGATATGGCTATAGAAGACAATACTCATAAGCTTTTAAATGATACTTAACACTTAACTAAGCGTTAAGTAAGGAATTAACTTTCATTTCATAAATGCTTAATAAAGTTCTTAATGGTTTATTGTAGGATTTTTTCTAGAAAATGTGGAAAATAAATATGGTATTATTCAAATGAAAGTATGTATGTAAGTATTTATAAACACTTTCAAAAGCAAAACACACACTTAAGGAAATGCATCATTTTAGCATTTGTACAACCCAAGGGAATATCCGTTGTTAAGGCAAAAATATCCCTTTAGCAGAGTATGGATACATGCATACAAAGCAAACTACATACTTGCAACATTTAAAACAACTGTGAGAACAAATTTCAAACTCTCTTTGGTTGGCTGTGTTTAGTGTATTATGAATGCATCCATGTATGTTTGCAACATTTACACAGCCACAAGAAGTTTCCTGGTGGTAACAGAGTAACAAATTCTAAACTTTATCTACATTATTTCTGTCTCTGCTTTTTCTTGTTTATGATGTTTTCATCATACAAAGTTATAAGCAGAAAATTGGTTATAAATTTATACCTAAAAGAAAAGGATCATATAGTACTCAGGCATGCATATTAAAGTACATACATTATGTCGATATTTGGTTGTACTAAATTGGAAGATAGTGAGAGAAATCTAAATAAGAGATAGTATGTTTGTCAACCATCTAAGAACATTATGAAAAAAGCTAATTTCATTGATCTAAACAAACATTTTCAAATATATGTCACTTCTCTTATCACCACAGCCCACGTATATTAAGGATTCACAATTTACCTCTATGTTTATATGAAAGTTCAATTAGATGTTGATGTAATATGTTTGAATGTTCAAGTTACACAAACATTTACAATAAGCAAAAATACAAGTGTATGTATTTTTATATCCTCCACCACCATCAGTGGTCATAGAAGGTATATATAAGTTTATCGTTCCGTGTGTAACACCAAGAAATATTCATCTAAGACCCAACAAAGTATATATATTCTGGGTCCTTATCAAATTCTGAGTCGATTTAGCTATGCCCGTCTGTCCGTCTGTCTGTCTGTCTGTGTAAAACACGCTCACGTTAAAACTACGCAAAGGAAATAAACCAAATTCACCCAAAATATTTATTATTATCCTAAGCAGTTTGGTATTGAAAATGAGCAAAATCGGTTCACAACATAAAAAGTTATGAGTAAAAATTTCAG